TAAAGGCCCCCAGGGACGCGTGGTGCCTCCAGCTGCCGAGCGGTCCTCGCCCGGCCTGTTGCAGCCAGGGAAGACGCCGGCGTGGCGTGGACGGGCTCGGATGCAGCCGATTCTTACTGCAGAGACTTCACCCACGTCGACAGCGGCACGACTCCTGGGGCTGCTGTCCAGCCTCAGGAAGAAGGCTGGACTCCCCACAAGATCAGGCGATGCTTGGTAACCACCTGGCCCCGGCCGAGGGTTCTCTTCACATTACAAGCCAAGGGAGCCGAGTGGAGCTGCAGCCCCGCGTTCTCGGGCACGAGTCTCCTGCCATTTTCTCACCACACCTGTGCGCGCTACAGCCACCTGTTGGGAATACCGCTGACAGTTTTGGGGCCCACGCCCCTCCAGTTAACATCTCGCTTCTGCACGCTGAAGCTGAGCCAGGAACGGCGCAGCCGGGCAGATGCTGGGTGCGTTCAGTCGTGAAGCCGCCAGGCTTCTTGGCATGCGGCTGGCGCAGTCCGGCGCTCTGAGAGCAGGAAGGAGCCGGCCCTTCCTGCTCTCCTCCGATGGCTGACGTCTGAGGAAGGCACAGAGCCGCACCTGCTGCTGCTCTGGCATGGAAATGCTTCCTGTCCTCAGGGCCCCTCACGCAGCAGGGAGCATCCCTAGGACACTGGCTGGGCCTTGCTGCACGGTGGGGTGCTGGGTAGCCGGGCGGATCCAATCCCACTGTGGAACCCAGAGGTCGACCTCTGCAGCAGCCATGGCAAAGTGAGGCCACAGTGCTGAGGATCTACACTCCGGCCCCAGGCTCTGGCCACGCCCTTCTGTCGGGCCACCGGGGAGCCCCGCAAGCAGTAGCCGTCAGCAGCAGTGCTGGCCCTGCTTAGGGGTGTTCATTTGCACACATGCGTCGACCTCAGCAAATCAGCCAGCAGCTGACAGCTGTGCAAAACAAGGGGTGCGCCGGCTGGGAGTCAGGGGCACGGAATGTTCCACCACCCAAGGGAATCCCAGGCCAGAGGGTAGGGGGCCCCTGATGGGGGCCCCCAAGGTGACGCAGGAGCCAGAAGCATATGGACACTCAAATGTTTACAAAGCACTTTCTCTTACACCCTCAAAGCCACTGACAGTTCACACCCAGGTTTGCTCATGTGGGGCCTGGAGGCCGCTCTGCCTTTCCTGGACACATGACCCACACCTTGCGCCCCCGGTCCTTGGGGGGCGGCGACGGCGGTGCCTCAGCTACCACCGGAGCGGCTGGCGGCCCTGCCGCAGCTCGGCCTCCGCGTCGGCGTCGTGCAGCACCTTCAGGCGCAGCAGCAGCTGCTCCAGGTTCTCCCCGGTCACCGCCGACAGCGCAATGGCCTCCTGGCCCAGGCGCTCCTGCAGCAGGGGCAGGCTGGCTCGGGCCTGCGGGAGGTCGATCTTGTTTGCAACGACTACGTGGGGCCTCTCGGACAGGCCTTCCTCGTACTTCTCCAGTTCGTATTTTAAATCCTCAACCTGCGTCCACGGCTCTGGCAGGGTGAGGTCCACGACGAACAGCAGAAACCGGCAGCGCTCTATGTGTCTGAGGAAGGCGAACCCCAGGCCCCTGTTCTGGTGGGCGCCTCGGATGATGCCGGGGATGTCCGCCACTGCCGGGAGACAGAGCGCACGGCGTCACGACCCCGCCTGCCCGGCAATGCCCCTTGGACCTCGAGTCTGGAAGGGGAGACCTGGAGCCCACCTCGGAGGCCGGGTTTCCCGAGGTCTAACACCTTCCTTCCAAGGACGGCCTGGAACTGAAGCTGTTTGATCCACCACCCTGGTGAGTCATTGGGCCGACTGACATCGAGAAATTTCAGCTTTCAGTTTTGAAAAATTCTTTGAAGTATTTGGGTGACAGGCATGATGATGGATCAGTCTAATAACGAACATTTAACACACCCCTATCTTTCTGGCTTTAAAAATGATTCAAAAAAAGGGAAAACGGCTTCCTGTACTCTCTTAATAATTTGATTACAGATAGAAATTACCACAGAGCACTTTGCAAACACAAAGTGCTACACAAATAACCTCGCCAGCAGGCTCGCTATTTTTAATGGGTACATTATCTTCTGGAAAAAGTTTCATTCTCTCGAATGGTACAAGGAAAGCTACATCACATGTCGTCGACGTGACTGGTGCTGCCCAGTCCCCGGGCCGGAGGCAAGACCAAGTGCAGGGAACAGGGACAAGGCCTCGTCAGAAATTCAAACTCGGTTCCTGAACCGTAGCTAACAGACCCTGGGGCAGGGGTGGGACCCTGACTTTGACAGAGAACAGGTTCGCTGACGCTGTTCAAATCAGAAAATGCTGCGTTCTACATGGGAAGCAAAACCGAAGAGTCACATAATTACTTTTATGAATTACATCATTTAAACTTGACCTTTGCAGAGAATTTTGGAGGTTCTACCTGCAATTTGCTGGTGGCCTTCGTAGTGGACGATCCCGACGTGGGGATTTAAGGTGGTGAACGGGTAGGCAGCCACGGCGGGTCGCGCATTCGAAATGGCTCGGAGGAGCGAGGACTTCCCGGCATTGGGGAATCCGACCTGGAAGAACAGCGAACACGGTCACGTGATTCTACGGAAGCAGCTTCCGAACTGCAGAGTCGTCACTAACCACGATCAGAGGGAGAATTCCATACTGGGGACGGAATTCCGTACTGAGGGCGCACGCGCAAGCTAGCAGTCACTGCGGAGAACCCCGAGCTGCGAAGCTGTGCTCTCTCCCAGGCCACCAGACGTCCCTCCTCAGGGACAGCGGATCTTCTGCAGTTCAGTGTGGACACAGATGCCAGTGGTGGGGGACACCTACCATGCCAGCGTGGGCCACAGTCTTGAGCTCCAGGTAGAGAACTCGCTCCTGACCCAGCTGTCCGGGGGTACAAGTCACGGGGGCGCGGTTGTCGTTGGCCAGGAAGAAGCGGTTGCCTTTTCCCCCCGCACCCCCCAGCGCCGCGATGTACTCGTCGCCCGGGCGAGACAGGTCTGCCACGACGTCATCTCCCTCCTTCACCAACGTGCCCACGGGGACCTGAAGAAGCAGGCATTCATCGGGCTAAGTTTCGCGAGCGGTGAGGAGACCATTTTAGCTCGCTCCTTAGCGAAGGCTGAGAGAGGGAAGCGCGTTGTGCCTCGGTGCGGCCCCACTTTGGAACAGGGAGGCGGACAGGGCAGCAGGGCCTCTGCCCTTCCCAGCTGCAAAGAAAAGGTCCGAGGCCTCAGGGGATTTCATGGGACTGGGTACACACCCCTCAAACGCATAAATGGCTTTTTCAACAGTGTTTCTGAAACACCAGGGTAAACCGAAGCACCCAGAAAAACAGCTGACCTAAGAGAAGGGTACACTCAGCTCACGAAGATGCCGCGGGGCTGCCCGCAGTCAGAAGAGCAGCTCCCGGGGAACAGAGTGCTCCGCGGGTTCCTCTTCTTTAAAAATAATTATTTTATGGTGTTTCCGCTAGGCCACGTGCATGTGGCCTGATACTGGCACAGAAGCCCGTCTGGGCGTGTGCTCGGGGACGGGACTGCTCCCCGCCTGCTCCCGCCTGCTGTGCTGCTTCCTGGCTGTGCCCAGCAGGCTATAGGGCCCCTCTGGGTCACACCCCGGCCCGGGAGCTGGATGATCTGCAGCAAAGGGGACAGAGCCGGCCCCGGCGGCTGTGGCTTACCCGGATGTAGAGGACAGCTCCGCCTCGCCCAAAGCAGTTCTTCCTGCCGCCGTCTTCCCCATGGAAACCCTGGTACTGGGACAGGACCGACGACAGAGACTTGACCTGCTGGTCAACTAAAGTCAGAGCAAGAACCTTCACGTTCCTTTGTGTTAAAACAATCACGGTCAATTGCTAATGCTTTTTTGTCCAGTCTAAGAACCTTAAAAAACATGTATGGAAACATGGCATGAAGTTGTAACAAAGGTTATGAAACCATCGACATGATTTTTATAAAAAAGCTAAAGTCTTTTTTTCCTTCAAAAAATACTACCATTTCTGAAAACTTAAAATTACTCATGACGCCATCATCAATTTGAAAAACAGCTACACTTTATTACGTTGTGACTGCTCTGCTCCCAGCTTACCGGGCATTTGTGCTAACCGTGCGCTGAGCAGAACCGACACCCTCCCGGCATTCGCGGGAGAGGAGCAGACTCTATGCTTCGACATGCACTATCACGTTAGTGCTCCCGCAATTCAAAAAACAAAACATGCGCAAAGTTGCTTTTTCGGTGCACTGTTTAAGTATGAACAGCACAGAATTTATAAAAACGATGTCCACACGTCAAGTTTTTAATTCGCATGCATGTTAGGATGGGGAGGTGGACCTTCCCACCGCAGGCCCAGCGGCCGCCATGCCCCTCCCCGCGCCGTCCGGCACCTGCCTCTCAAGATGACGTGGCCGCCGTCGCCTCCATCCCCACCGTCCGGGCCTCCGAACTCCTTCCGGGGCTCGCTGTGGAAGCAGCTCGCCCCAGCGCCTCCGTTTCCCCCGCGCACGAGCACTCTCCGATGGTCTACAAAGTGCCTTTTCTACAGAGAGCACAGCAGGCCCACGTCATTGCGGACTCTCTGAAATCCTTTCAAGAGACCCAACGTCCATTTGCAATGTGCCTTTTCTACGATACCCATTAAAATTAGATGTTAACGTATTCATATTGCTAATCTCCCCTAAAATGCAAAGACAAAAGAACAGTTCGTACAAGTCACTCGTATTCGCAGCAAGGTAAATCGGTAACAAAGGGTGGTCAGGACGGAATACACACTTCGGAAATGAACTCGGCATCTCTAACTTAAAGAAAACAGACCTTGTTTAGAAAATGTGTCTTAAATAAAATGTCTTTCCACCTGTTTTTCCCACATAGAGACACAGTACTCACAGGTTTTTACTAATGGGAAGTTTTAGCTCCTTAGGATGCGACAGGGAACGAGAGAAGTTGAAGTCCTTCCTGGACAACTACCAGGCTTTCGACTCTGAAGAAAGAGTGCTTTCTATGGCCAGACTGAGACAGGGCTTATTTTTAAAATGTAGTGCTACAAACACAGCTCCTTATTTGAGAGAAAGTCTTTCTTCAGGTCCCTAAGGTAGGCACACTCCGGCTAAAGAATGGGGACTAACTAGGTTGACACATGTCGGCTCCTGCTGTGAGAAGCCAGCTGCCCGAGGCCCCAGGGCGCAGGGTCCTCACTGCACCCTCCGCGGGCCGCCTGCCTTCCGCACACCTGCGCAGGTGGACGTGCCCCGCCCCTGCAGGCACCCATGCACCTCCATTTCCATTCGACACTCCACTCCACGGATGCATTTTTTTTTTTTTTTTAAAGAAAATACACGAATATTTTAAGATTCTATGGCACCACCACGTGGAAAAACTATGAATTACTATTTCTAAAACTCAATGTGTAATTGCGTTACTTGCCAACACAATCAAAATCCACCTGCCAGGAAAAAGAGCACGACTGTTGAGTGCTGCATGGGAGAGAGAACTGGAATCACTTTCTATGTGTGGGGGAAGAGACGAGGCCACGTGGAACTCTGGCCATTGAGTGCACGTCCTGCCGGGCGGGTTCCCGCCAGGAGCACCGCTGTTTGCTATCGGGAGCCCCTCCGTGCGGGAGGAAAGGACCTGGGTCGTGAACACGTACTTTCTTGCATTTATTCAAAGACCGTTCACATCTTACATAGGTTTTGGTAAACAGGACAAGAACAGCGTGTGGGGCTTAGAGAACTACGAGAGGCTCACTCCCCCCTAGATGTTCTCAGTCAGGAAACGCAGGTCCCTGTGAAGGACGTGCATGACTCGCACAGAAGACACAGGCCAGTGACGAGGCAAGCAGCACCGCGCCCCACCCCGCCTGCAGCGAGCAGCACCGCGCCCCACCCCGCCTGCGGGACAAAACACCGCCCGCCGCCCCGCCCTTGGGGGACCATCCCGTCGCTGTATTCCATAAAGTACAGCACCGCGCAGGCCTTGCTGTGCCTCCCACGCCCTGCGCACCAGCCATGGGACCCACGGAGACGACTGAGGAGAAACCACCACGCCCCGTGTCCTCCAAGGAGGAAACTGCGGCGGCTGCCCTAAGCTGAGAGTCTCACCAGCTTTTTCTCGGAGAGCAGCTTCTTTCTGGGGGGCTCCTGATGCTTGGCGTGGTCTGCGCGGCCCACCGACAGCAGCCTGGGAGCAGCCTGCCTCGGAAGGCACCAGCCGGGCGTGAGGCCAGCCAGGGCGGCGGGAAGCTGGCGCCCCGTGCCCTCAAACACGGTCCGCGGTCTTGCTGAGAACAGCCTTGAAAGTATCATGGCCCCCTAAAAAGAATCAAATTTGCAAAACGAGTTTACTTATTTGTAGCTCAGTCTAAACCTGAACACCAAACGGAGACTAAAGCAAAGCGGCTGGCACACAGAGAATCTCGACGTGGGTTTTTGAAGCGGACAAGTGAACTGATGGACCCACTTTCTTGCGCCATTCACCACTGGCGACCCTGCAGCAGGCTGCGTCCCCGCCTGCCAGCCTGTCTGCCGCCGGGGGGCAAGATTTGGATTTGTGTGCAAAGGACTTAAAACATTAAATCTCCTGCAACACTGAATACTCACCCCGATGGAATGTGAAGGATCTGCTCAGGGAAAATATTAAAAAGGAAATCGGTAACTTCAAGTCAAAATTTCTTGAAAATAATAATATTTACCAAATGTAACTATGTTATCCTGTGTGGTTTTAAAGCCACTGAACTGGAAAACAAGAACATCAAACGTGGCGCACGGCAGCGGGAAACAAACCGCCACCTTTCCCGCTCATCTCAGCGAGACCCGGGGAAGGCCGCGCTCCTGCGCTGCCGCGGTCTGCCCACCGTCACCGGACGCGGCTGGGTGAGGATGGCTGCGCCGGCTCACACGGACGCGCACGGCGGCGCCTGGCTGTCGTACTGTGGTCTCACGAGAAACAGAACCGGGTCTCTGCCCCAGCCCTGACACACAGCTCTCAGAACCCCTGGAATTTCCTGAGTGACGGGGTGATAGGAGCACGTGACACGGGGCTCCCGAATCCCTGGGAGTTTCCTGGATGACAGGAGAGTCTTCTGTTCTGATGAGGTGACTCTTGGTGGGTCCTAGATAGGGGGCTGGTCACCAGAGAGACCAGGCCGTGGCGAGGAGCCGTGTTGGTCACCGGAATCCGCAGGCCGCGAGGTCTGGAGAGCTTCCGGGCGGTGAACGCCCTGTGCCGGGAGGGTGGTCTGCCTGGTTCCCCCGGGACAGACACTCCTGCACGCGGGTCCCTCTGGGCTCGCCCCTGCACCCCTACATCCGGCCGCTCATCTGTATCCTTCGTAACACCCTTTCTAACGGACCGGGAAACGTCGATCAAGTGTCTTCCTGAGTTCCCTTACAGCAAACTACGAAACTGAGGAGGGGGCTACAGGTGCCCCGATTTGCAGCCAAGTCGGACAGAAGTGTGGTGCCCTGGGGACCCGGCTTGCGACTGGCACCTGAAACTGGCGTCTGTGTGGCTGAGCCCTCAACCCGCGGGGCTGCGGTAACTGCAGGTAGGGTCAGAGTTGAACTGGTGTCCACAGAGGACTGGCTTGGTGCCGAAAGCCACACACGTGGGTCAGACGTGTGGCGTGGGTAGAGACAGACCCCAGCAGCAGCAGCGGTGGTGGCGCACGTGCGTGCTCAGGGAGTCCGAGTGACTCGTCGCTAATGGAGCCTCCTTACGCCATCACCCGCTCAGTGAACAGCTCCTGACAGCTGCGTGTCTTGCAGGTGCTGCGGTAAGTGAGGAGGACGCCGACCCCACGCTCCAGAAAAGGACAGCCCCTCCTCCTTCGCCAGGACAGACGCCCCCGCTCTCGGATGGCCCTGTTCTGTGTACCCCACATACGAGAAAACTCACAGAGCCCTTCATTTTTAGGTATGACATATATACACACAGAAGGGGATACAATGTATGTGCACTGTTTAAAAATCACCACAGAGCCAGCAAGCGTGGGACACACCAGTCCTTCACGGCCCCTCCCTCCCACACCCCCGCTCCGAGGAGGAGACACTTCCTTTGTGGCGGTCACTCCCTTAGTGAGGCACTCGATCGTCTTGCTTTTAATTCTGAAGCGATCAGAGTTACAGAAAAGTCAGAATGATACAGAGAACTTTTATCCTGAATCGTGTGAGAGTAAGTCGCCAACCTGACACCCCTCACCTGGACACTTCCCCGTGTGCCCCCCCCCGAGACAAGGGTGTTCCCTACAGAACCAGGGGCATCATCGAAGCCAGGCCACGAGCAGTGGTCCACCACTGCCAGCCACTGCTCAGGCCCCCCAAGTGGGCTGTCCCCGCAGTGACTTTCCCAGCAGGAGGGTCCATGTGCGTGTCATACGCTGTGGTCAGCTGTCACACTGCCTCAGTCTCCTTCAGGATGGAACGCTCCTGACTCTCGTGACCTTGACACCAGGAAGGGTACAGGCCAGCTGTCTACAGAACGTCCTAGCTTCCAATTCAACCTACAGGGTCATCCAATCTTCTTTTTCTGCCCGTGCAGCTCCATTCTCTGACCGTAAGGGTCCTGCCTCCATTCTCCTCCTCGCCTCTGTTTGCTCAGCACCCGCCGAACCCCACCCTCGCCCCCACCACCCTCCCCTCCAGTGTCCTCCTCTCCCCATGCTGGGCCACCACTCCATGGGGACACCCTCTTCTTGTTACCCTTCTTGTCGATGTATTTTAAATAACCTTTTGTTTTGGGATGATTTTAGATTTGCAGACAAGTTGCAAAGGTATTTGCACAGACTTCTACCCGTGTTGTCCTCGCGGCAGCACCTGACGTGACCATGGCACATTTGTCAAAACTAGAAGCCATCGCTGGTCTGTTGCTATTAACTAAACCCCAGAGGGGGTCTGGGTTTCACCGGTTTCTCCATTAACGTCCCTTCTCCGTTCCAGGATCC